GACCTGAAATATTTCAGTTGGTGTGCAATGAATCTGAAATATATGAACATTTCATTTTTATCATTACATTATGGAAAATAATGACCTTTATCACAATATGCTAATTTTTTGAGAAGGACCTGTATATAGCGCCAAATCACAACAAACTTGTCTCAGGGCACTTTACAGAAACATTCACATACATAAAAGCCAATTAGTAAAGTTCTCTATCTAAGGCATCCAGCAGACAAGTTGAATCTTGGCTTCGATGCAGTCTCCCATCCTGAGCAAGCACAGTGGCAACAATGGAAAGGAAAAACTCCCTTTTAAAAGGAAGAAAGAAACCTCCAGCAGAAATCTGGCCACACATGTCAAACTCAAGGCCCGGGGGCCAAATGTGGCCCTCGTTGACATCTTCTCTGGCCCCCCAAGATGATATGTTAAACAAAAAATACTTTATCACTTAAATTTTTTCAGTAATCTTTGATTATGATGTCGAACCCTATGTACATAATTTCGCACCACCATATGTACCACATGTGGTGCGAACGACAATAAAGTGTCTCTGAAAGTGCAACACAGAACATCAAATGAGACCAATCAAATGCGTGTTGAGGAAACTGCAACCAAGAAAAGATGTTTGATATCTAACTTGAGTTAATGAAGAAACTGGCCATGAATTGGAAAAAGGTTTTAATTTTGGCCCCCTTTTGTAAGTGAGTTTGGCACCCCTGATCTAGGCTGAGAGATGAAGGCTTAGCTGGTCAACAATATCGTATACAGTTTACTTACCTCCACCATGCAGCCCCCACTGTAGAAAAAGGCAGCAAACTTTTAACAACAAAGTTTGTGACTGTCCTGTGGCCCCCACCTCACTTTTCTTTTGTCATTTTGTCCTCACGTCAGAGGCTCCTGTGAGGAGAACATTAACATAAACAGTGAACATTAGTGAAATGTTTAACCAGCTGACCTGATGGATGAGCACATGTTTACAAGCTAAGCTTCTTTTGTTACTCTCAATCTTCAGTTATCTCTTGATTTTAGCTAGCTACATAAGTAGCCATAAAATAAAGCTAATATCTTAAAGTTAGCATTACATGGATCCTAGTTTAACTCACTGCGATGCATGTATTAAGTTGCTGTAACGTTAACAAACGTAAACTTACCAGCTGAAATCCCAGACACAGCTCCATCCTCTGTGCGAAGCAGAGTCCGGTCGTGGAAATTTAGAATCAGGCCGTTCTGGCTCTGTAACACCCACAGGCGTTTGCTGAGAGGAAGAGCGGTCCGTTCTTCTTGCAGTCAAACACGGAGCAACTTCACGCTCTTAAATCGATTCCGTGCACAGTCAGGCGCTTCATCAAATAGTCGTGTTGTCGACACACGTAACTAGTTCACAACACAGATATTATGGCAAGCCATAATAACCATTAATAACCATAATTGGCTATTTGTGGCTATTAATGGTTATTATGGCTTCCCATAATACCATGTGAACCCAGTCTGTGGGCGTAACTACGTATGTGTTTTTCCTGCATGCTGCAAGTTCCAGCACTGGCATTGGCTGTAACGTTACACGTAGTTTCAACCACATGTAACGTTACAGCCAATCACCGAAACTTGATACCGAAAGACAAGGCATATTTTGATACATATACCGACTGGTATAAAAGCTGAAAGAAGAAGAAGAAGAAGAAGAAGGAAGAAACTGGAAGAAACTCAGACAAGACTGAGGTTGTGGTTTTTGGACCTGAGCATCTTGGTAATAAAGTTTGCAATCTTTCACTTTCTCTGGATGGGATTAATTTGGCCTCCAGTTATAACGTTAAAAACCTTGGTGTTACTTTGTGATGGTTTTACAGAGCTTTCTATGTTTGGGAATTTTTATTTAGGGGTACCAGTCATGTATCCCTCCTGACAAGTAGGATTTTATTGAGTTACTTCCTTTTGGTTTGTTTTTTTAACTTGTGTGTGTGTGTGTGTGTGTATATATAACCCATCACACAAGGACCATACACTAGAAGGTGTAGACCCTTTGGTACAGAGAATGCCAACGATTTTTGGAAAAATCGGGTTATAAATATGGGGAAAAAAAACATAAATTCGTTGCTTCAGT